TTAGGCGAGCCTCCACTCCTCCGGTGTGTGGGTTAGGCCTGGGGCCTTTCGCTTTATGTTCCCTGCACCGGAGGAGAGGACGCGCAGCGCGTCTTTGGGTAGGTGACGAACCGGGGGGTATTGTCGGCGAGCCTCCTGGCCGTATTACTCGCCGACAACCGTAAAATTATGACATGGAAAACGAAAAGGAAGAAATCCGACGGGGCTTCGGAACCTCGTCACGGTTTCCCGGGGGTACAGTCCCTGCTCCCGGGCGATCGACCCCCGTGGCTTCGGGCCCGGGGGAATCCTGTGAAGGGCTAGCCGTGGGGTTGCCGACGGGCCCCACGGCCGAACATACTACCGTCCGGAAGGATGTGGAAGAGGAGGGAGATGCGAGAATGAGGAAGGATGATGCTGGCGCACCACTCGCTCTGGCGGAGATGGAGGCGGGATTAGGGGCGACACCCAAGAAGAAGAGGGGGAAGGAACTGAGGCTGCAGTTGGAGAGGACCAACGTGGTCTCGATCTCGGGGGGCACGTCAGTTGTTGGACTCGGAGGAAAGGTGATGACCTCGGCTAGAGGAGAGGCGCCTCTTCCAAGAAGAGGAAGGTCCGCGGTGAGGTACCCGAGAGAGACACGGATAAGGGTTGTGGAGGGGGAGATCGTTAATTCCCCCATCGCGGAAAGTGTCTCTGTTTCTGTTGGTACGCCAGCTCCTAGTGGTTCCGGTGATGGGATCGATGCTGGAGACGCAGTACCCAGTGCGTCCAGCGTGATGAACGTCGAATCGGAGCAGGGAGTAGCATCGGAGGTTGATCTTACGATCGACACCCCTACTGGGGAGACGGAAGGCGATCTCTCGTCGTCCTTCGACGTAATTCCTAGGAAAGGGAAAAAGCGCGGACGAAAGCCCAAGGGCTCAAATTGCCCAGGAGCCCATGCGATGACTAAATTGTCATCCAATAGAATGGACTACGAGGATGATGAACTGGACCGCGTCGATTTTTTCAAAATTTCGAAAAGACCAGGCCATGGATTGAAGAGACGGAGGGGTCTCGTAGAGTGTGAACTTGACGATAGACTTTCGTCTGCACAAAAGGACGCTATTGAGGAAGTTACTACTCTTTTTCCTCAGATGTCGCCGAAAGCGATAATGGCGGAAACACTCAGAGTCCTGGAAAGCGCTGGGGAAGCCGAAAAGCGGACCCAGACAATGAAGGGTGACTTACGCCGCCAGATAAAGGTGGGCGTAAATGTCGCCAAAATAGCAGTTCAGAGGCTGGTCTCGGTAATTGTTAAAGGTTCGGGACCGGCCGATGAGATCAGGGCCAGCAACCAGGCCCTAGAGCGGGAGGTGGTTAGGCTCCGGCGTGAAGTGGATACTTTACGTCGCGAGCGCGAAACCATGAGAGGGCAGATTAGCACGCTGCAAAGTACGGTGCGTGAGTTGGAGGAGAGGGATAGGAAGCGTGACCGTGAAAGGAGACACGTTCTCTCTTCGGACGAGGAGATCTGCGACGCAAGTCCGCCGATTAGGACTAGAGGAAGGACCAGGGAGGAACGCTTTAGGTCCAACAGGGAGGTGGAAGTAGACGAGGTGGAGAGTCTCCCCCCGGCGTACAGGCCGGCGTTAGGAGGAGTTCGGAAGCGGATAGAGGACAAGTCCTCTCGAACAACGACCGTCAACGAGAGGGGTCAGATTGTGGAGGGAGAGAAGAGACAATCTGCCCCGAGGAAGCGCGATGACGTCCATACTGGAGGACGAGGTAGTAGGCGGGAAAGTGTCAATCGAGGAGCGGGACCCAGCGATGACCTCCAGGACAGGGAGGATCCGACGCCACTTCCCAGGAACTATCCGGCTGATGGGGAACCTTGGGTGGAGGCGAAATCTAAAAGATCGCGGAAGAGGTTGAGGAAAAAGGAGAGGACAGGAGCGGCCTCGGATGCGAAGCCTGAAGTGCGGGCTGGTCAGG